TCCGTTAGAGTTTCCAGGAGGAGCATGACCTGGCTATACCTTAGTGATACTGACTTTGGGCCTGGCCTCCAAAACTGTAAACAATACATTTCTGTTGCTTTAAACAGCGAAGTTTGTGGTGATTTTTGTTACAGCAGCTGGGAAACTATTACAGATTTTCCTGCTGGAAGTGGGAAGCGGCTGTAACAAATACCTAAAAATGTGAAAGTGGCTTTAGAATTGGGGAATGAACAGAAGCTGAAAACATTTTAAGTACATAATAGAAAAAGCCTAGATTGCCTAGAAAAGACTTTTGGATGTTAAAGACTCTGCCAGTGATGCCTTAGGAAGAAGTGAGGAGCAGAGAGAAAAAGCCTTAACAGATGACTCTTGAACAATATGGGTTTGGCTGTGTGAGTCCACTTATACTCAGATTTGTTTTCCAGTAAATATACTGATATGTTTTTTTGAGATTTGTGACAATTTGAAAAAATATTTCCTTTCACTAGCTTACTAAGAGTACAGAATAAAATATATACAAAGTATGTGTTAATTGACTATTTATTTATCAGTAAGGCTTCCAGTCTACAGTAGACTATTAGTAGTGAAGTTTTTGAGGAGTCAGTAATGATATGTGGATTTTCAACTGCTTGGGTTCTCCAAACCCACTTATTGTTCAAGGGTCAACTGCATTGTCTTAGAGAATACACAAATTGGCATAAGCAAAATGTTGGTAGAAATATCGAAGGTGCTATTGGTTAGGGCTGAGAAGAAAATGTTATTGGAAGAGTATGTCATTGGAAATTGGAGGAAAGGAAATCTTTGTTGTGTAGTGGCAGAAAGCTTAGCAGAATTTTGTCCTGTGGTTGTGTAGAAGACAACAGTTGTAACTGATGAACTTGGACATTTACGGAAGAGATTTCTGAGCCAGGTGTTGAAGGTACGGCCTGGTTCCTTCTTGCTGCTTATAATAAAATGTGAGAGGAAAGAGATGAACTAAAGGAAGGATTGTTAAACAAAACACAATCCAGACTTGATGATTTGGGAAATTCTCATCCTATTCAGATTACAAAAGCTGCTAAAATTAGTAGGTTCAACATTAGGAAAGTATGCTGTGGAGAGAAGGCCAGGAGCATAGCTGGACTTCTGCTAATGCTGAACAAATTAGGTGTGTGACTCATAGATCTCCTTAACCATCTCAGCAGAAGCCAGGAATAGACATGTGATTATCCAGAAAAGATCTACAGAGGATCCTGCATCTAAGGGCATGAATCCTGTGACATGCATAGGAGACCCACGAGGCTTTTGATAATACCAGCAGAAATACTCCCAGCTTGAATTGAAAGGGACACAGATGGATGAAATGGAAAAAGCCTGCTGTATTCCCAAAATTTTACAGGAAAAATAAAAGCCTAATAAGATGACACAGCTGAAAACATGTTCTGCTTTTCAAAAAAAAAGTAAGAATGACTTAGAGTAGAGCCTTGGGTTCAGAAGTTGGAACCACAAACTACAGATGAATATTCCCAGGCCTAGACACCTAATGGAATTTGCCTTGATGGATTTTGTAATTTTAGAGGTTGTTGACTTCATCCTCCTTCCCTCCCTCCCTGTCTTCCTCTTTCCCATTTTATTCCTTTTTTGCATGGGAATGTCTGTAACTGTTATTAATGTCCAAAACCATTGTATTTTGGAAGGAGGTAACACAGGTGCACAGATGGAGATTAATTTGCCCCAGTATTGATCTTAACCAGAGTCTCCCCCATACCTGATTTAGATGATTAGGTTTGGGGCTTTTGAACTGATGAGATGTAGATGAGGTTTTTGGATTTTGAGTTGTTGCTGTAATGGTTTGAGACATTAGGGAATGTTGGGATATGTTGAGTGTATTTTACCTGTTGTGAAACCATGAATCTTTGGGGCCAGAGGGTGGACTGTGGTAGGCTGAATAATGTCCTTTTCTCCAAAATGATATCCATGTCCTCATCCCTGGAACCTATGAATTGTTCTCTTTTATGGAAAAAAAGGACTTTGAAGATGTGACTAAGTTAAGGATCTTCAGATGGGGAACATATTTTTTATTATCTAAGTGGGCCCTAAAGCAGTCTCAAATGTCCTTCTAGGAATGAGGCAGAGGGAGATGAGATAGAAGAGGAGAAGGTTGTGTGGCCACAGAGGCAGAAATTGGCGTGATGCATCCAGAAGCCAAGGAATGCCAGCAGATGCCAGAAACTGCAAGAGGCAGGAAGTGGATTCTCCCCTAGAGCCTCTGGAGGGCGCACAGCATGGCTAACACTTTGATTTTTGTCCAGTGAGACTGATTTTGGAGTTCTTTCTTCTAGAGCTGTGAAGGGATACATTTCTGCTGTCTTAAGTGGCTAAGTGTATGATAATTTGTTGCAGCAGCCATAGAAAACGAATGCAGGAATAGAAGGGTATCAATTGGTTTCTGTTTATCTGTGCACTCTTGAACTGTATTTGAAAATGAGACAGTCTTATGATTACTGTTTGACGTCTGTAACCATCAAGCTTTTATATTAGAAACTTTTACCACTCCTATTTTAAAACAGTAACCTCCTATTTTAAGCACAACACCATTATATAAACTGAAAACACTGGTAAATAAACAGAAGGCTTGACTTCTGCTCTCAGCTATGCTAGCGACTAGCTGGGTATTTCTGGATGAACACTTACCCAAGCTGAGTTTCATTTGAACAATGGGAATGTTAACTATCCTGCCTAAACCACATAATCATTATGAGTACTTAATATAAATACATGTGGAAAATACCACATAAATAATGCTGATGTAACTTCTATAGGGTTCAACTATTATTTTCCCTCTAGCTATATCAAAGTTATGATGAGCAACTTTGCATATAAATCATTAACTAATTAAACATTTTGCCCCTCAGTTTAGCTGCTAGAAGTGGGATTTGGGGTTCAAAATTTTGAACATTCTAAAGCTCTTGATACATATTGTCACACTTTTTTCTGGAAAGCCATACCACTTTACTCTCTCAGTGAAAGCATACCCATGCTCAATTTTTTTGCACTGTTGCCTTAGAAAGTTTTTAAAAAGTATTTTAAATGTTTTGCCAACTTGATGAAAATAATAATTTGTATTTCTTTGTCAAATTTAACTTTTTTTTGGTATATTCCTTGGCTATTTGTATCATTCTTTAATGAATTGCTTGTGTTCTTTGACCATATTTCTAATTATTTGTTTGCTTCCTTACTGATTTTTAGAAACCCAGTATTCTTAATTAACATTTGTTGTGTATTGTTTCTTCTTTGTTGTTTCATTGTTTATCTTTGACTTTAATTCATGTGGACTTCTGATGACCTTGTGTTTAACATTTGTGTGTCATCAAATTCATGGACTTTTATTATCTTCCTCGCTCCCTCCCTCCTATTGTTTCTTGCCTCCTTCCTCCCATCTTTTCCTCTGGAAAGCGTCTCCCATTTGGCCGCTTCTGTTAATTTTTTTCGGTATATAGATTTGCCCTTGGTTGCAATACATACTTCAAATCCAGACTCTTATTAAATAAATTAATCTCAAATTATGTCTTGTCAAGGACGTAATTTGACTTTTGCAAAAATTTGAGTGGAGATATAATATTCAGAGATAACTGTCTGAATAATATACTGAATTTTATTTTGGGGGAAGAATCTAAATGTAGCATCAAGATCTGTCCTTCCAGCTTGATAATTTCACCTTCTCTAATTTATGATCCCTTCTCATTTTACCTTAAGTATATGCAGAAATTGAAGGAGGAGAAACAGACACAGTCAATTTGCACCTTATCTTATCACTACTAGCTCCTTTCTTTATATTGTCTTCTCTACTGCATTGTCCTTAATCAGAATAATAATTCTACCATGAATCAAATGCTAACTTAGCATAGCCTTTACATGTCTAACAATTTTTATATATGTCACCTCAATTAATTTCCACAACAGGCATATAAAATGGGAAATATTCTAATTTCACTAATGAATGAATACTTCTAGAGGTAAGGTGGCTTCCCCAGTATCACATGGATTGTATGTGGAGGAATGGATCATGATTTCAAACCCAAGGCCTTTATGATTTCAGAACCAATTTTTACCTGGTATTATTTCCATGTGTGTACACACAAACATTCATACACACATATACAAAAATACCTTCCTACTTCCCACACTGATTTCCCAAAGATGACGTGACTTGATATTTCTGTTTCTCTTGTCATTGATGCAGTAAGGGAGGCAAAAAAGAGTGGATGAAGCAGAATGGCAACATCCAAGATACTGAACTAAATAAGCAGGATACTGGACTGAAAATACTTTGGGGAAGATTTCAAACTTCTCTTATTCATTTTAATGCTCCAATGATATTCTACCATTGTTCCTCTCACTTTAAGCATCTCACATGTGTAGTGTGCTCTGACCAAGGGAGGTCACTGTAAAAATTTCAAAGCAACCAAAGGCCAGAGACAAGTTGGCCAGTCTTAATTTGGCAGTTGTAATAAATGTCTATTTTATAGCCTGTGATTGATGGCAGCCTGCTGTGATGGGTGTGTACTGAGCCCAGAAGAGCTGCTTAAAAAACTGCTAATCCTTTACTACTATTTGGATGATTAATAATGGCACTCCTGTTAAATTTTAAATGGGAATAGTTCTCATAATTCTTTTTTGAACTAGAGACAATGACAGCATTCAGTTTCCTAGTGTTATTTTGCTGTTATATCTATCAATTATTTGGAGCTTAAAAGTCTGCAAAAAAAAGGTCAGTGGTCACAGCTTGAAAACATTGACTATCTTGCCCCGCATCTTGTCTCCAGTGCCTACTCAGTGCATGCCATGATACATTTCTGATCAAAACACTGCTGGTGTGAATGGAATAGGTAAGAGTGAGAGTCAGCCAGAGAGTACAGTTTGGAATCTGTCTTGTAGGCAGGTTTGGTGGTGATTGAGAAAGCACAGGAGTCTTATTAAAATCAGCTCTAACAAAGGCTTGTTTTTGTGATTGTTTGCAGAATGATTACCACTTTGAATATACAGAATGTGATAGCAGTGGCTCCAGGTGGAGAGTTGCCATTCCGAATTCTGCTGTGGACTGCTCTGGCCTGCCTGACCCAGTGAGAGGCAAAGAATGCAGTATGTTTTGACTTTTTGACTATTTGTTTTCCTGATTAAACTATAACCCCTTGACTTTAGCCTAAGTAGTTAATTCTAATGAACATAAGAGACACTTGAAAAATAGCATAGAGCACTGGTATCTAGCAGAGCATGCTTTCTAACACTCAGTGCCCTTATGACTGAAGCCTGTAATGAGACACTGGCAATATTAAAGGATATTATTTCTATTTATCTATTTAGAAAAAATTTGGTGCACTGTCTTAGTTGAAGCTCTAGAGGATAGAGTGGCAGAATTTCTCTTTAATAGATTTCTTTTTCTTTAAAGTTTAAAAAAGTTTTCAAAAATATTGACAAAATACACATAACATAAAATTTGCCATCTTAACCATTTTTAAGTGTACAGTTCAGTTGTATTAAGTACATTCATATTGTTGTGCTGTCATTACCAAGATCCTTCTACAGAACTCTTTCATCTACCAATAGGTTTCTTTTTATAGCCATAGAAATAATGTAATTTGCCTTTTTAGTTTAACGTACAGAGAGACTGTAGGGTTGATGAATATCATATTCAACAGCTTGTCTTTTAGCAATTAAGCAGGCTTGAAGTGTGACCTTATGAATTAACAGAGATATATGTCATTAATTTATTTTCATCTATAAACTCCACTTTTTAAAAATTCTTTAGTTTGGTTGAGTTATAGGTTCCTGTAGTGAAGCAGTCTAGAGGTAGACCAGAGCTCAAAGCTGGAAGTAAGACAGAGAGGTTATTGTGGTTTTCCTTCACTATTCTACATGGTGTTCCTAAAAGATTAGGTCTTCTGCTTCCAAATTGGAAGGCAGGTAGACAATTGAATTATTAAATGATAGTTAACTCCTTCCTGTTCATGGAGGGACCATGTCTCTGCTACTGGCTTGAGGAGTGCTGGCATAGGTGGTGGATTTGCTCTGGAAAGGGAGATGGGGAGACAGCAAATGTCGTGTGAAGAAAATTAGGGAAGAAAACCATTGTTTCCTGGTGAATGATATTGAAGGAATATGGAGAGGGCCTGAGAACCCCCGTAGCCAGGTGAGGTCTTCAGTCTAGCCTGAGCTTTATGAGGAAAGTGGGGTCAGTATAGAAGATGATACTGGGGTAGGGTGGGGCAGCCACCTGTGCAAAGGGAGGATCAGCTCTCTGTGAGGCAGGACTGTAGTTAGAAGGGAAAGAGCCTGAATAAAACCTGTGGAATTAGCTCATTGTAAAATTGCTTCCATCATCTTCCTAGAAAATCTGTATGTTGTTCATCTATATTTATTTTTTACTTTTGGGCTAATGCCTTGTTTTTCTTGTTAACAACCCTACTGAGGTTACCTACGTAACCATTTTGAATAATACTCTATATCTAGCTGGGTGATGTTCTGGTGCTGGCTAGCACTGGCTTTGAGAGCTGATGGTTAGACGTGGGCCATAGAGGAGTATTTTACATCAAGGAAATTGGTGAACACTATAAATCAGGCACTTTCCTTCCTTCTGGGAATGGGTTAACATTTAAAAGCACATCACTGATTAAATTTATTGGCCAAAAGTTAAAAAATCTGTTACAGAACTAATACCTAAATAGGAATAATTTTTATTTGAATGTTGTAAGGGACTTTTTTTTGCACATTGTTTATTGTAATCTTCCACAGAGAATGTTATGAATCTGATGCTCCAGCTAGAACTTTTCTGAAAAATATGACTAGCAATCACATTGCTATTAGTTATTACTTTAAAAGGATGCTATTTACTTTGAAAATGATAATACTTAAGTGATGATTGGGACATTTTTTATATTGGCATATTTTCTGAAACCTGAATTGTAGTAATTTCTGCATGATACAATTAATTACGTCTGCTCTGGAAGCTGCTTGGCCTCTGGTAGGTGACTTTTTCTTTGTATGGTAAAGGCAAGTTATTTAAAAACTCACAATAAACTTAATATATCTAAGTAACTTAGAAGCTTAATTCATAACCTTAAACATGGTACTTACCATGTTACTAGTCATTAAAGCACTGTTGAAGGCAGTTATGGTAATGACTGAACATTTCTTCAGTGGCTGAGACTTCCTATTGCTAATAATAGCTACCGTTTCTCAGGGACTAATTAGATGCTAAGCATTGTGCATAGAGCTTCATATTATTCTCCCATTATACCCATACAACCATTGTCTTAGCTACTATCAGCATTTCCATTTTATTGATGAGAAAACTCAGTTAAGGAAGTGAAGGGCCTTAAGCACCGGTCACAGAGTCCGGATGTGGCAGATCTGTGATCACACACAAGCATGTCTAATTCTCATGAGGAAAATCAGACAGGCTTGTGCAATTTTCTGAGGAAAACTATTGGTGGCTATCTTCAAGCGGAGATTTTAGAAACCCTTGTGCTTTGAGGATAAGAGAATAGAAATGATGTGGTTCCAGAATGGCATGCTTTTGCAAGCTGTGCCTGTGTGATGCCAAGACCTTGGAGGGCGGGCTATGCCCACAGATGCTAGACTGCAGCTATGCCATAATGTTCTGGCCCAGCAGTTGGGTCATAGAGAAAAGGAAAATAAACAAGCAGAATGTGGTGACTTAAAGTAAGTGAAGGTTATTTAGGGCAATAATATTGTGGAACATAATTTCCCCATATCCTGATGTTTCAAAGTGAAGTCAAACCCAGAATTTGGCCTCAGTTGAAATGGCTATAGATTCTTCAAACTATAATTGGGTAGATCTTCCTCATTTTCTAAAAGAAGCAGTAAAAGCTTTTCCTTAGGAAAGGACTTAGAAGAATGTGCTGGTAGCAGTTGTAAATTTTTTTGGTAACTCATGGGCAATCTCTATGATATATTTTTATTAAAAAATTTTTATAGAATCTAGCTTTACAGCTCATCTAAGTGAAATTAATGAGAATTCAAGGATTAGTTTTTGTTGTCCTAGAACCCTGGGGTGTATGTGAGCTCAAAGTTAAAAGGCTTGGGAGACGAGATGGAGAGGCCTCTGGTTATTCGCCAACACTGTCCTGTTGTCCTCCTGTCCCCTGTGGAAAGCTCCTCAGTTTCTTAGGTGTTTGGCTCTGGGAAGGCCAGAGATGACCTCACACCTCTCCTTTTGTCTGCTAATTCTAGGCTTAGCTGCAGGGGATTCTGCTACTTTCCGCAAGCTCTGGTGCCAAGAATCTTATGTGTGTGTGTGTGTTACCCACCATTTGAGGTTGGCATCACTCAGGCACAGCTTGCAAGGAGCATGCCAATTGTGAACCACAACATTCCTTGTTTTCTCCCAGAACAAGGGGCTGTAATCCTTGTCCTAAGTCCATCCCTCCCTGACTGGCAGGTCACTTCTCTCTTGGAGCAGAGTTATTTATTTATTTATTTGTGTATGTATGTATGTATGCATGCATGTATTTATTTATTCATTCATCTATCTATCTATCTATCTATCTATCTATCTATCTATCTATCTATCTATCTATCTATATATCTATTTATTAAGGTATGAATGATATATACTCTTATGAAAGTTTCACATGAAAAAAACAATGTGGTTACTACATTTGCCCATATTATCAAGTCCCCACCCACACCCCAATGCAGTCACTGTCCATCAGTGCAGCAAGATGCCACATATTCACTAAGTGCCTTCTCTTTGCTATACTGTTCTCCACGTGAACCCCCACACCATTTGTACTAAACATGATACCCCTCCATCTCTTTCTCCCTCCCTCCCCACCCACCTTTCCAACACCCCTCCCTTTGGTAACCACTAGTTCATTCTTGGAGTCTGTGAGTCTGCTGCCATTTGGTTCTTTCAGTTTTGCTTCATTGTTATACTCCACAAATGAGGGAAATGATTTGGTGCTTTTCTTTCTCTGCCTGGCTTATTTCACTGAGCATACTGTCCTTCAGCTCCATCCATGTTGTTGCAAATGGTAGGATTTGTTTCTTTCTTATGGCTGAATAGTATTCCATTGTGTGTATGTGCCACATCTTCTTTATCCATTCATCTACTGATGGACACTTAGGTTGCTTCCATAGCTTGGCTATTGTAAAAAGTGCTGCAATAAACATAGGGGTGCATATGTGTTTTTGAATCTGAGAAGTTGTATTCTTTGGGTAAATTCCAAGCAGTGGGATTCCTGGGTCAAATGGTATTTCTATTTTTAGTCTTTTGAGGAACCTCCATATTGCTTTCCACAATGGTTGAAATAGCTTACATTCCCACCAGCAGTGTAGGAGGGTTCCCCTTTCTCCACATCCTCACCAGCATTTGTTGTTCTTAGTCTTTTTGATGCTGACCATCCCTACTGGTGTGAGGTGATATCTCATTGTGGTTTTAATTTGCATTTCCCTGATGATTAGTGATGTGGAGCATCTTTTCATGTGTCTGTTGGCCATCTGAATTTCTTCTTTGGAGAACTATCTCTTCATATCCTCTGTGCATTTTCTAATAGGGTTATTTGCTTTTTGGGTGTTGAGGTGTGTAAGTTCTTTATATATTTTGGATGTTAACCCCTTGTCAGATATGTCATTTACAAATATATTCTCCCATACTGTAGGATGCCTTTT